TTTTTTTTCCCCCAAAGAAAAAAGTACTGGGAGCAATCAGGGTCACGGCAGAGACTGGAAAGTTATAAAGATGAAAACTGTGATCTCATAAAAACACTGGTGCTAGTTGTCATTCCATTGCACCAACAGAAATCTGAAGAAAGAGCACTTAAAAGAGTTTGGTATGGAGCATTAAGAACTTAAAGCGTGGGCACTGTACTGAGATGATGCGAGAGCCCACAGCAAGCTTCATGAGGTACAAATCATTTTAGCAACACTTAGACAGTAAGACATTAAAAATACATACTGCTTTCGTCTACTTTTGATACGGTGACATTTATACAAAAAGGAAACAAAATTAGCAAGTTATTTTTATGTGCCTATCAATTTTAAACTTGAGCTTTCTAGTACAGTTTGACTTAATTTTTAACTATAGAAAAAATTACAATCTCTTTTTTTTTTGCCCTCCTCTAGCCTCCCCCCAAATATATAACCAACCCCCAAAATACCCAATCAATTTAGTTCAGCCTCTTGATGTGTGTATCAAAGCTACTACATATAAATCTCAGCTGAGGAGCCACAGCTGTCAGAAGACTATATGTATCAGAGCTTTAGACTAGGTGCGTCCAAATAGCGAAATAAACCTACCGCAAGTGACAATCCAGAACAGTCATGAGACAAAACATAGACAAGGAGGACATAGAAGGAAGAAATAAAAATTAAAATATCCACACACAAACATCAGTAAAAACCATGGAGAAATGACCTTTTTACAGTAGTACATTCGTTAATGGCTTGCCTTCCCTAGAAGGAATCTAATTCTCCTGGTGGCCCTTGGTCGAGTTGTAGACTCTACTTGAAAAAGTAAGCACTGCCTGCAATGGAAATGGGTTTCAAGACTGAAAACCTAAGCTTACTTTCAACTCTCCTCCCACTTTACCTCAACTAAATTTGCTCATAATGGCTAATATTTCGTAAACAGTTTCTCATTTGAAATACCACGCTAGAAGTTGTGTTCAGGAAAACGGACATTTTGAAGCACAAATCTTCTAGCAGAGACCAAAATTTTGTTCCGCTTTCTGTAATATCTAGCTACCACGTATGACTATTGATCTGACTGAGTCTCTTATGTCAAAAGGATCTTTATGTCAAGCTATATGGGTCTGTAATGATTTGGCACGGATGTGCAGGTCAGCATGAGTACATGTAGGTCAGAAATTCTCTTTGACAAACAAAACCAGACTAAGATGGAAATTATATTTCCAGAGGCTGATACTTCCAATTTACCAAATGCTACTCCCTTTCAAGTTTTGTGTGCCTAGGGAACTAGGATCTTGCAAGATGCCAAGTGCCTATCAACTGCTATTATGTACTCTTAGCTGAAGGCAGCAGGTAATTAGTACTTGCAGGTTCAGGCCTAACAATGACCGAACTAAGCTTTTTGGGGCTTCTTGACAACATTTCAGATCTTTGGTATTTTATGTTGCCCTTTATAATGGCATTAGATTTACATCTTGATGTTCAATTATTTTTTTTTAACATTAAAATTTGCTTCTTTTGAAGAGCTAAAAGGCATTTTTGTTTTTCCCCTTTCTATTTTATGCCAGAGACCCTGAAGCGGTTCAACTCCCTTAACTGAAATATTCTACACTTAGCACTGCATTGAGTTCAGCTAGGTATATTAAAACTTGCACTGACAATTCAAGAATAAACTCTTAAAATAAACAATCAGTCATACTGAAAAAAAAAGAAAAGGAAAAGACAGCTAAGATTTCAGAAATTAGGAATTAAGTTGGTAAAAGCTATTCAATGCCAAGGTCTGAGAATCTGTACACTATCAGACTGCTAAGTATGAATTTAAGGGGCTAATTTAAGTATCCTGTTTTTGAAATCCCAGATAGTGAAGAGGAAGCTCGGCTAGAGAGTTGGTGACGCATCCACTTATTAAAGGTAAAACATTTACTTTTCTCAACTGAGAATCTACCCTCCTTAGGTTTAACTGTGCAAAACAAAACATATTGGTTAAATCCCAAAATACTTGTGCAAAAGTATGTTTAAATAACTATATGGAATATTTCGAATGGAATCATCTTAAAATACCTATCTGTGCAACATTTCAAATTTCAAGCTCTCTTTGTAGACAAGAGATGCATGATTCAGCTTTTTATCAATTTTTCCCATGACAAAGATAGAAATTAAACTCAATATTAATCATATAATGTAATTTTGCATTTAAAATATGTATTTTCCAAGAATCCATGGTCATTTATCCAGGTCCTAATGAATATAATTAAAAACACTTAATAATATATCGTAAATACAACAATGGCCTTACATGATATGGAACAAATTTCACATAAATATCAATCAACAAACTGCACATTATTTGTCCTACAACAAAAAAAATTAGGCTTGTTATCATCGGTAGAACATAACAAACATCTCAAGGGATTTTTCCACAGGCATAATCAAACAGTTCTTCCAACTTATTCTTGGTTCAGTAGCAGGATGTTGGCTAACAGTAGCCCAAGGTAACCCATCAACTGATGATCTGATTTTCCATGCATTGCTGAGGGCGAAATATCTCACAATTACTTAGTATTAATAGTCCAGAACAAAGTCTATAAATCAAATACAGGAAATCTACAAATGCTAAATCAAAGTGCTTAAAAAAAGGGGTTGTTTCACATTCATCATATGGAGAAAACAAAATCAGCATAAATTCTTTTTCAAGGGAGAGCTCAAAATTTCTGCTCTGCTGGTTTTTGAGCTCAGCCTCACTAATCTTCCTAACCTTGGAATAGCTGCATCTACATTAGTGATTTTGTGTACTGATGAGGTTGTTTTCAGGTGTGAATTTGTCTTGTGTTGGCGTCATGCACTCCAGTACACCAGTGTGGCACACGAAGCATCTTTTCTCCAGGTAGATCCAACGCTGAAGCTGTGCACCAGGGCACTGTCTAAAGTGCTCCACTTGTAACGTGGATGCAAGCGTCTCCAGTCATTCGCTCTTTGTGCCTGTGCAGGACTCTGTTAGTTGCAGTAAGACAATCTGGGATGGCTGTAGAGAAATCTGCTTTGTATTGCCTACTAGCATGCAGACAAACGAGTACACCAAGGATAGGCAATTGGTGTGAACTTCATTAGCTGTAAGCATGCAGTGTGTACTTGTGGTCTGAGAACCAAACAGGCAATGTCAGATCAAGCCTCATTCTTTCCTTCATCACTCGCATGATGACAGTGTGCACAGTTGTCACTATAAAATGCTGATACATACAGCTTGAAAGTAATGAATTTTGCCAAGGCTTACTTTATTGGTATAATGTATTGGCTAGGACTATCTAACGAATCAAGGTTTTAGTAGTGGTTACTGCAATCACGACTGGGAGTAAAACAACTGGATCTTCAGTTATTTTCTTGCCATACTGTCTACTGAGCAACAACAACAAAAAGTGTCCTCTTGCCTGATAATGGAAACTGGAAATAGCTCTGATAGCTCTGTACCTTTGAAGCTCATCCATTATTTTCTTCTCCTTATCTGAGCTCTTTCCAGACTCCACTCAGGTGATCCAGTTGCACCTAGTCATCAGACTTGTAAGGCTTCCTCATCCACTCTCCTGATTTTACTCTTCCCCCATCATGTCTGATGTGCCTGGAGAAGCATGCTAACTTGTTCGAGGACTCTTAAGACTGGCTGATGAGCCACATTGGTGGCTGCTCCATCACTGTACAGTACCATCGCCCCACTTGTTCTAGACTGACCATGGGCCTCTTAGCTACTGTGCTCAAGGCTTCTCTTCTTAGATCTTGTTCCCGATCTGCTGGCCATAGTCCTCAGGTTCCCAGCTTTGGCTTGTACTTCTAATGAACCTGCCTTCAGCCCAGCTTTCTTCATATACTAGATTCCAACTTGTGCAAGGAATTGCTCATTCCTGGCTCTGTTTTTATCCTCTCTCTTTGGCTGGATAAGCACTCTTGGACTGCTCTGGCTCAACCTTACCAGGGGTCTTGGAAGCACAGACTTGACCATGCAATATCTTGACAGTTATTGGTTCCTACTGAACAGGTTTTGCAAAGCAGTTCTCTAAAACTCTTCAGTACTTTCTGTTTGAAAAATAACAGCCTTTGCCTTCTTAGCTTAGGAAATCTAGCAACACAGTTGCTAGAGGACAAGTGAATACTTTCTATTAATTTCATAATTCTTTTGCTTATTCTCAACAGTTTTCTCCAGGAAGGACAATATTGTAAGCCTGTTAAAAAAGAACTTTTTTTTTTTTTTTTTCAGGAAACATATTAGTCAAGTCTGTGGCCTTGAGGATTAGGTCGTTCTGCTCCTCTTGCATGAAGCAAATCTGAAGGACAAGATTTTCTGCCCTTATGAAAATGATGCTGCTCAAAGGGCATTATGCTAATCTTTATCTTCCAAGTTATTCAGTTGACTTACAGTTACAAGTATCTCCTGTTATCTTTAATCTCCTCCTCTCTACTACAAAATGAATTCTCCCAACATCGTTGTGTTGAATGCCCCTGTGCTCTTTCTTTTTGGTTGGTTTCCCTTGTTTCTATGCTTCTCATGTTTTTCTCCTGAACTTTTGCTTTTGTGCAAAAAGAGATTTAGAGTTCAGAGCTACTTTAGTTTATCATGTAAGCTCAGAAATACTGCTAGAAAGACATACACTCTAGTAGGTCCTGGTCAAAGTCTTGAAAAAGGACAGTGAAAATCATGCACATTTGCTTCATTTTTTGGGACAACCAAGAGACTCTCAATAAACTTGCCCCTTCCAGCTGAGTCATTATATGCCCACTCATTTTTTTCAGCACAGCAGGGAAATTGGCTGACTGCTTGATAAAGTGATGCCACACCCAGATTCATCTTTTGTGATACCACCGAGAAGATGCTGCCAATCAGTCCCTTCTTCACAGAGTCTCTACTGAAGCAACAAGCAGAACTTTTTGTAGGAACATCAAACAGAAACCTTCAAATGCAACTCAAGAGTTCAAGAAAAGGAGAGGTACTTTACCTGGTCTTTCATGGTTTTCCCTAAATCTTTAACATCTTTCATGTTAATAGCATTCTTCCCTCCCTTTTCCTTTCCCTTCTTCTTGTTCTTCTTTTTGAACAAGCATTTCTTACAGAGACAAAAGCAGCAGGTAAGGATTAATAGGACTGCAACTATGGCTATGGCTATTAAGGCCCAAGGTGGCACTGGAAGAGAAAAAGAAACACACACAAAAAGAAGGTGGTAAATTGTTAGTAGGGTTAAATTTAGAAACAAGCGCGTTTCTCTCACAGCTAAGCCTTTTTCAATGAAAATGCCTTACAGAAATACCTGAAATTCTTTCTTAAATATTCTGTCATCATTTGTATATTTCTCCCAACTGAGCATTTGCACACACAACTCCAATTTAACACATCTATCTATTTACATGCCTGGTGACACATATCAAACTCACTTGCAGCTATTTTGATTAATCAACCATCTGAAAACACTATGTCCAAAATATTTACACAGCGCAAATCTGCAAAACGCTCGGCACATTTAGTCAATTACTTGCTTCTTTCTTTAATCATCTGCCCAACCCACCTGGCATTGTGGCTGAATCGAGTGGAACTGACTGGGAATTTCCCTTTTCCGGCACGGCATTCGATCCAAGCAGTCAGCTTTAATAAACAGCCCTTCTCCTCTGCCCACTGCTGTACTCGACAGACTCGCAGACTCCTTGCAACAGATGCAGGTCAAGGTCACCAGTAAAGACTGACCAAGGACAAAAGACCGTCCAATCCAAGGGCATTTTCCCTATTTGTCATCATGCCCTGACGCTAGCGAAGTTTCAGTACATACCTACATTCTCACCTATACTTTCCTATAAAGAAAAGTGTATGTTCCGTTTATTCCTTCAGTCCAGGATGCTGGACATGGCTGAAGCATGAATAAATAACAGAGAACACTTACTATGATAAAATGGTCTTGTTAAAGATCAGAATTTTTGAAAAGAAAAAAAAAAAAGAATTAAGATGACACTTAAACACAAGTACTCCAGAAGGGAATTATCTTCATACAACTCAGCTTTAATGACCACTGATCCCCACATTTAACCAGAACATCTGACAAAACTTTCAATCTTGTAAACTGTCCTTTTCTAAAAATCTTGAAATGCACTCAGTCTATTAGGTCTGCACGATGCTCTCTCAGTACATCACCTAAAGGTCTCTAATATGATACAGAGCAAAACCGAAGAGTGAATCAAATTTGACATGTTGACGTCAGTGAATCACAGAAGGGAATGGACAGTATAAATAGAGAAAATTAATTGCTTAAAGGAGCTAAGCAGAGTGTAAAGCATGGTCACAGGAACTTCCACTACAAATTACTGTTCAGGAAGAGGACAAAGCACCTACACCTTCCTTACTTTAAATTTAATCACCATATTTCTAACTTTTATTCAAATGTCCTTGGTGACAGATACAAAAATAATGCAGCAGAATAGCCAAACAATAATTTCTGTAATACTTTTGTGTCTCCAAATGTTCATTAAATGCAGCTGCTATAAAAGGGAAGCTGTACCATATGTAGAACAAATGAGAACTGATTACTAAACAAATGGATGTTAAAAGATAAACAGTGAACAGATTAACAGCTGTTTACGGCATGTATTTTATGGAGTCAGCAGCAGCAGTCCTGCAGTTAAAGTTGCATTAGATCTGCACTTATCACAACTTAAAATCTGTATTTCGTGCATTAACGATTCCATTTCGTCTCCAAATATGGTGTGGTAAACCTCTGTAGCACAACTGACTCTCCTACAAATTTTTAATTTGTTTTCATCCAGTGTTCACCAATGTAAAACCACTGCCTTTCACAGGCAATGTGTGTTCTTCTCAAATTCTAAACTTCATGCGCGTACTTGGTCTGTTAGACATTTAGCATCTTAAATGGTATTTACATAACACTGTACTTTATATCTGAGCTAATCTACAGGAGTTATGTCAATATGAAATGAATGTTTTGCCCAAATTTGTCAGCTATTTGTTTTGGTGCCTTGTCAGCAGTGCTTGAAGCATGATGCCAGTGAATATGGGGAGCAACAAGAATATGGGATGGGATTCTGACAGCAGGATGGCACTGTGGGAGGAAAGAGAGGAGGGACACATCAAATGCGGGTAAGCTGGGAGAACCAAGGAATTGAGGAGACAGGGAATGTGGGCGTTAATAGGATATATGCGTCCTACAGATGAAAAAGCTTGTGTAGGTAGTGAAGTCAGGTGCCTTTGTGCTGAAACTGTTGTGTAAAGTGGTATTCTGGCACTGCTGCCTCGATTCTCTGGAGCATGAACAATGCAGGGTGCCTTGGGGAGCATTTGAAACACTTGCAGATACCTCAGCTTTTTTTTTCATAATGCATTGTCTGCTCTCATCTGTTTGTAATTTAATTTCACCCAATAGCTCTTGTGGTACAATTAAATGATCATCAAATTAATATCTGAAACACCAAGAATTATGCAGAATTCCATATTTACCTCTTCAAAGAAAAAAGGTTTCCTTTTTTTATTAAAGATGGCATAAGCAATAAAGGAAAAAAAGGAGGTAACACAAAATCTGGACATTTACAAAACAACTTCAACATTCAAGTCTGAAAAAGCAAAAAGAAATGGATTTTTTTCTCAATAAAAGTGTACTACCTCTGTCAAGGAGATGGCTCATCTGAACACTGCCATTGACGGGGATTGCCCAATCAAACATTGCTGGCAGTGGATGTACATGTTAAATTTAAGACAAGTGAAACATACAGTTATCACTGGCTTTGAAGTTATGTTTGTTTCCTTTCAAAAGCATTATTGAAATAATTTTAAATGTTAATCATTTTACATAATTCAGGTAAGCTTTGCTAAAATTACTAAAGACTTTGAGGGTTTTCATGTCTGTGCTCCCTGAGTCATGACACTGCCAGAGCAGCTTGAATTCCACAAAAAGATAAGTTTCTGAAAATTGGTTTTCTATAAAGTTGTCTCAAGGTGGACAGGCCAGAATGAAACGACCGAAGTAACCAGCCACATTGGAAGACTTGAGTCTACAACCTTTACCTTTTCAGGCTTTTTACCAACTGCGAATAACATCTACAAAAACCTTATTGACAGTATATGAACTTTATTGGTTTTGCACAGTGGCTTACTTTGGATATTCATACTGGTTAACTCCAGTTGGACTTTTCCTACACATACGCAAGATTTTCAAATAACTTCATTTTTCTACTGTTTAAATGGACAACAGTTTGGAGACCACCTCCATCTATATTAAAGCAATTTGATCAGGTTTAGTAGCACGGTTTGAAATCTCAGGAGGTCTTCAGACATGATCCATTGAACAAAAGACCTCTCTGGCAGACAAAGGAGGGTGGGTGACATGAAAAAAACAGATCCTGACCAAGCGATCGAGGTGTTAAGAGAGCCAGAACCTTCTTGTACAACTTGTCTTACCCAGTGCCTGCACAAGGGGGTGCTTTGAAACAAGCAATACTTCCCTATGCGATCAAGGAAAAGCTATTGGTTTAAGGATAATTAATAAGTGTGTAAACTTTCTGGTATTTCAGTGCTATTTTCTTTGTTCTGCTCCTGTGGGCAAATACAGAATACTTATTTTGAAGAAGCTCTCATGAATCACTACATGATTCTGTGATTCTACAAGGCTCTTAAAGACAAATCTATAGGAGGGGATCTGCTGAGTAGCACAGTTAGTAAATCAGGTCTTGAATTAGTCTTGTTGATCCAATCCAAACAGGGTACGCTCTAGGACTTGACTCAGAAATGTAGGAATGAAGCCGATAGTAAGAGGAGGGTGCAGAGAAAATGAAACGCACGGCTTACTCCTCAGCAATAGCAGGGCACTGCGAAGAGTAAGCTCTAGGACTGTGTTGATAATGGAGGCATTTTGGGTACTGATTTTGCATCCTTCACCCATGCTGAACATCAGTCAGACATGGATGCAGCTAAAGGAGCTGTGAGCTTTTGCATCCCTCTCTGTTGCTCCCTACCAGTAATGCCAGACAGGGTTGTGTGCACACTGTGGGTCATTTGATGCATTTGTAGCATTTCACAAATACAGCAGCTGTGGTGCACTCATATTATCATTTTACTTTGGGCTTAGGAATGCATTTATGAAGCAGATCTCCAGACCATACTCATATACTACACTTGGACTCATGTCATGCAGTGATCTGGGAGAGCACGATGGACCGAATGGGAATATACACTCTGAAAGCTCACCTAATGGTGCCCCAACTGAAATGGCACTTGGCCCATGGAAGCAAACCTAAACTGAAGCGCTACCCCCACAAAGTTTGCAGGATGGGGCTGGGTCCTCAGGACCGACTGCTTCACTCCACTGATTGGCTTCTACTATGCTACACTAAATAGAGCATGTGTCCCAACCTGTCATTAAATCTTGTTGCACCGAATATGCTAGATTCAAAGGAAAAGATCAGCTACAAATTATGCCCTTTATATAAAGATATCCTTACTTGGCTTTACACAAAATGCTTGGAGAGGTACAGGCCTTGGGTCTAAAACTGACATCCCAGTCAGATGATCTAAAATTATCAAATGCCTCGGAGGACATTTGACTCCAGAGGAAAGACAGTAAGAGGGAACTCACAAAACATGTAACAGCATCAAAGTGCTACAGTCTGTAAAAGAATAAAATCCTTCATCCTAATAATTTTTTTTCCTTTCTGTATGCAATGTCAGAGGAAACTTTATTAACTTAGAACCCAAAGAGAGGGAAGGTCAAGGAAGAACTGAAGAGAGGAGCTGAATTAAAAAGTGAAGACTTCCATACCAAAAATGCTGTCCACTGACAACACCCAATTAAGCAATTAAGCAGCCCCATTTAAAATGTGACAGTAAAGGACTATCAGATGATGGCAGCTTCCGTATTATCCTGCAAAGGAGGCCCATGGCATGTCGGAATTGATAAATAAATATTAATAATCTATGTTTCAGAGGGGGCATGATACTTAACAGGAAGCTGCAACTGCCAAGTAGTTGTATGTGAAGACGTGAAGCACATTGCATTAATCTAAAGCTCTGGTAGCTTGAACATGAGAGCACTGACAGTTTTCATTTACTAAGCCATAGTTTTATCTTAGTTTTTTGCACTCAGTTTCTAATCAGAAAGCAAAACCCAAATGTAGCCACATTCAGACTTTCTG